ACATATTTACATCTAATACCAGCACACCCGGATATATAAAGGAAATATTATTAGAGCTGAAGGAAGAAACAGACCCCAATATAATAATAGCTGGGGACTCTAACACCCTACATCACCGCTGGTCAGACTGCGTACACAGAAACTCAACAAAGAAGCGTGAGAGTTAAACTGATTTAGATCAACTGGATCTAACAGACATTTACAGAACGTTTCATCCAGTAGCTGCAGAATACACATTCTTCTAATCAGCACATGGAACATTCTCCAGCATAGATTACACGATAGGCCACGAAACAAGTCTCAACAAATTTTTAAAAATCAAATTGATATCAAGTGTATCTTCGGACTACAATGGAAAACCACTAGACATCAATAACAAAAGGAATTTTGGAAATGATACAAACAGATGGAAATTAACCTGCTCCTCAATGACCAATGAATCTGCAATGAAATTAAGAAGAAAATGAAAAAGTTTCTTCAAACAACCAAGATAAATATGCAGCACGCCAAGACCTACGGGAGACAGAAAAAGCAATACTAAGAGCGAAGTTTGCAGCAATAAGTGTTTACATCAAAAATGGAGAAAGGTTTCAAATCAACAAACTAGTAATTAATTCACCTTAAGGAACTAGAAAAACAAGAACAAATGAAGCCCCAAATAGTAGAAGGAAAGAAACAATTAAGATGAGAATAGTCCAGACACAGTGGCTCACCCTGTAATCCCAGCACTTTGGGAGGCCAAGGTGGGTGGATCATCTGAAGGTCAGGAGTTCAAGACCAGCCTGGGCAACACAGAGAAACCCCATCTCTACTAAAAACACAAAAATTAGCCAGACATGGTAGTGGATGTCTGTAATCCCAGCTACTTGGGAGACTGGGGTGGAGCTGCAGTGAGCTGAGACAGCGCCATTGCACTCAAGCCTGGGTGACAGAGTGAGACTCTGTTTCAAAAAAAAAAAAAAAAAAAATCAGAATAGAACTAAACAAAACATACCAAATATCAATGAAGTGAAAAGTTGGTTTTTTGAAAAGGTAAACAAAGTTGACAAGCTATTAGCTAGACGAACTAAGAAAAAAGAGAAGACTCAAAGAAAATCAGAATCAAAAAAAGAGGGTATTACACAAACGCAAAGAATTATTAGAGACTATTATAAATAACTGTATGCCAACAAATGGGAAATCCTAGAGGAGATGGATAAACTCCTGGACACATGTAACCTACCTAGATTGAACCAGGAAGAAATAGAAAGCCTGAACAGATAAATAGTGAGTATCATGATTGCGTCAGTATTGAAAAGTCTCACAACGACAGCAACAACAAAAACCCTAGGACTAGATGGCTTTGGTCCCCTGCGTAGACGCAGAAAAAGCATTTGATAAAATTCAGTGTTCCTTTATGATAAATCAACACGGCAGGTATAAACGAAAGGACCTAAAGACAGGAAAGGCCATAAATAACAAAACCCACAACTAACATAATACCGAACAGGGAAAAACCGAGATCCTTCTATCCCTGAACTGAAACAAGACGAGGATGTCTGCTTTCACCACTTTTATTCAACATTGTACTGGAAATACTAGTCAGAGCAATGAGGCAAGAGAAAGAAATAAAAGGCATCTAAATTGGAAAAGAGAAAGCCAGATTGTCCCTGTTTGCAGATGATATGATCTTCCATACAGAAAATCCTAAAGACTCCACTAATAACTCTTAGAACTGATAAATGAATTCAGTAAAGTTTGTAGGACACAAATCAACATACAAAATCAGTAGTGCTTCTGTACGCAAATAATGAATTAGCTGAAAAGAACTCAAGAAAGCAATCCCATTTACATAGCTACAAAAAAAGAGGAGAAAGAAACCAACCTAGAAATAAATTTAACCAAGGAGAGGAAAGATTTCTATAACAAAAACTGTAAAACATTGGTGAAAAGAATTGAAGGAGATACAAAAAAAAAAAAAAAGAGAAGGATCTTCCATGTTTACGAATTGAAAGAATTGATATTTTTTAAGTGACTGTATTACCCAAAACAATCTTCTGATTCAATGCAATCCCCATGAATCCCCAGTGGCATTCTTCACAGAAATAGAAAGAACAGGGGGGCTAGGTTAATGGATAGAAAGTTACAGCTAGAGAGGAAGACTAAGGCACAGTGCCCTATAGCACTGTGGGTGATCATGGCTAACAATAATTCATTGTCTATTTTCAAATAGCTAGAAGAGATGATTTTGAATGCTCCCAACATAAAAAAAATGATAAAGGTTTGAGGTGATGGACATGCTAATTACTGTGATTTTATAATTACACATTGTATACATATATCAAAATAGACTGGGCATGGTGGCTCACACCTGTAATCCCAGCACTTCGGGGGCCCAATGTGGGGGGATCACTTGAGTCCAGGAGTTAAAGACCAGCCTTGCCAACATGGCAAAACCCCATCTCTACTAAAAATACAAAGATTAGCTGGATGTGGTGGTGCACACCTGTAATTCCAGCTACTTGGGAGGCTGAGGCACAGCAGTCACTTGAACCTGGGAGGTGGAGGTTACAGTAAGCGGAGATCACACCACTGCCTCCAGACTGGGTGACAAAGCAAGATTCCATCTCAAAAAAAAAAAAATCAGTCTGTACCCCATACATTAATTGACATGTACAATTATTACATATCAATTAAAACATTTTTAGATATTCCTCTTTAATCTGTACTACTGAGTATAAGTGCTGAGTCCGACTTTCCAAGACACAGTTTTACACTTGCTGCCCCTGTTCAGAAACACTCCGCACCGTTTTATCATTAAGGAAGTAACATGCTAACTTAGTCTGACTTTCAAGCCACCTCAGTCCCATCCAAACCCGCCTTTCACCCACAGCTTCTCTCAGAAACACTGCGGAACTCTTCATGACCTTCATGGCTTCAACACATCTTGCAGAATCCCACACACCTTAGAACTTTTTTTTTTTTTTTTTGAGACGGAGTTTCACTCTTGTTACCCAGGCTGCGCGATCTCGGCTCACCGCAACCTCCGCCTCCTGGGTTCAGGCAATTCTCCTGCCTCAGCCTCCTGAGTAGCTGGGATTACAGGCACGTGCCACCATGCCCAGCTATTTTTTTGTATTTTTACTAAAGTCGGGGTTTCACCATGTTGACCAGGATGGTCTCGATCTCTTGACCTCGTGATCCACCTGCCTTGGCTTCCCAAAGTGCTTGGATTACAGGCATGAGCCACCGCGCCCGGCCTACATTAGGACTCTTATCTGCAAGTCATGGAAACCACCTGAAGCCAGCGTTTTATTTAAGCAGGGTAGTAGAATGCCAGCTTTGCAAGACGATGAGCGTTCTGTGGATGCACAGGAGTGGGCATGGCACAGCAATGTGAATGTACCCAACGCCTCCAAACCGGACCTTAGCAACCAGTAAGATGGTAAATATTATGCTATGTGTACTTGACCCCAATTTGGGTGTGGAGGAGAGAAAAAGCAGGGTAGCACACAGTACCATGACAATAAGGTGACAGTGTTGTTTGAGTGAACCAAGGAGACATCCAGAGACCCATCTTGGTGAGATGGAACCAGGGAGTGGAAACACCCGCTCTTCACAGATCGTTTCTGTTCTGCCTCTGGGTCGGCTTCACTCTCTTCTCTCTGCAGACAAGCTTTTCCTGGCCCTCGGGTTGTGTAGCACAGCGTGGCCATCCACAGCACCCCAGTTAGTCGAGGCTCACAGGCCTGACCCAGTGAGGGGGCTGGGTCACAAAGCCAAGCTCTCAGAGCAGAGTCTGCGTGGCCCAGGCTGGGTCAAGGTCCATCCATCCCTCCTGAGCCATGACAGGCAGACATGGCTCCTGGGGTCCTCCCTGTAATTCTGTCTGTTTTCAGAGAGCTGGAAGTTCTCAGTGTAGGGAAATTCCCATAAAAAGGGAAGTCACCGGCCGGGCGTGGTGGCTCGCGCCTGTAATCCCAGCACTTCGGGAGGCTGAGGCGGGTGGATCACCTGAGCTCAGGAGTTTGAGACTAGCCTGAACAACACAGCAAAACCTCATCTCTACAAAAAATACAAAAAAAATTAGCTGGGAGAGGAGGCCTGCGTCTGTATTCCCAGCTGATCTGGAGGCTGAGGCAGGAAGGTTGCTGGAGCCTGGGAAGTCGAGTCTGCAGTGAGTGCATCACTGCGCTCCAGCCTGAGTGATAGAGCCAGACTATGTCTCAAAAAAAGAAAAAAAAAATCCTATCTGGAATTGGCAGATTCATAAATGGAGATGACCAGGGGCTTGGTTTAGGGGCAGGGAAAGTCATGCTTTAATGGATGCAGAGTTTGTGCGGAGGTGATGAAAAAGTCTGCGGTGTAGCTAGTGGGGACGGCTACCTAGCGTGTCAAGTGCATCTACCACCACTGAATTGTACGCTTACAAATGATTAGGATGATAAATGCTGTGATGTGGATTTTACCACAATAAAAGAAAAAAGAGGGCCGGGCGCGGTGGCTCAAGCCTGTAATCCCAGCAGTTTGGGAGGCCGAGGCGGGTGGATCACGAGGTCAAGAGATCGAGACCATCCTGGCCAACATGGTGAAACCCCGTCTCTACTAAAAATACAAAAAAAAAAAAAAAAATTAGCTGGGCGCGCACCTGTAGTCCCAGCTACTCAGGAGGCTGAGGCAGGAGAATTGCCTGAACCCAGGAGGTGGAGGTTGTGGTGAGCCGAGATTGCGCCATTGCACTCCAGCCTGGGTAACAAGAACGAAACTCCGTCTCAAAAAAAAAAAAAAAAAAAAAAAAAAAACAAAAACTTTAAAAAAAGGGAAGTCACCCCAACAGGGGCTTATGACTCATCTGAGTTTCAGCTCAGGGAAGGCTTACTGGGGGAAGCAGAATCTAAGACCTTAAAAGCGAAGAGGCGTTATCTGAGCGGAAAGATGGAAGAGATGTGTTAGTCTGTTTTCATGCTGCTGATAGAGACGTGTTTGAGGCTGGGAAGAAAAAGAGGTTTAATTGGACTTACTGTTCCACATGGCTGGGGAGGGAGGCCTCAGAATCACGGCGGGAGGCAAAAGACACTTCTTACGCGGCAGCAGCAAGAGAAAATGAGAGGAAGCCAAACTGGAAACCCCTGATAAGCCCACCAGATCTCGTGAGATTATTCACTACCATGAGAATCGCATGGGAAAGACCAGCCCGGTAATTCAGTTAACTCCCGCTGGGCCCCTCCCACAACACGTGGGAATTCCGGGAGATCCGATTTATGTTGACATTTGGGTGGGACACAGCCAAACCGTGTCAAGAGAGAAGAGTTCTGGGCTGAGGCTGGTCATGTTTAGAGGCCTGAGATGGTGCGTAAGTGAAGTGTGGAATTTACTGAGGATGGAAAATTCAGAATAACAGCGGCTCCTACCTCCTTGATTCAAGAGGATGCTTGAGCCCCAGCCATCGCCTCCCTTCCAGAAAAAGGAAAGAGGCAAAGGACACGTTCCCTCCCATCAAGTGTCTGTCCCAGAGACTGCAGATAGCCCTCCTTACGAACCCACGTAGGTCCCAGAGAGGCTGAAAGGTCACCTTTATTCTGGGTGGGAAAACACCTAGCTAAGAATCAGAGGTTCTATTACTAAAGAAGGGAAAGGAATCAGCTGCTGGGGAGACGCAGCCACCTCTGACGCGGAGGATTAGGGGCACGGCTCTTTCCAGGGAACTGGAGAGTGTTGGGTGAGGAGCATAAAGATTCACAGGAGAGACTGATTTTACGAGGAGGGTTGTCCACGTGTTTCTTCAAAGTTACTATTTATTTATCATTGTCCATAAGCCAAGACTATTTCTTAAATAACTTTTACTTTTTTTTTAAGAGATGGGACCTCACTATTGCTGTCCAGGCTGGTCTCAAATTCCTGGATGCAAGTGGTCCGCCCACCACAGCCTCCCAAAGTGCTGGGATTACAGGTGTGAGCCACCGCACCTGGCTATAGCTTTTACTTTTGTGATAATTACAGATTCACAAGAAGTTGTGAATGAATGTATAGAAAGTTTCCACACGCTCTCCACTCAGCCTCCCCCCGTGTTAAATTTTTACCCAGTTATAGTATAATATCAAAATCAGGAAACTGGTACGATCCACGGATCTTTTTCAGATTTCATCACCTAGACATGTACTTGTGTGTGTGTGCATGTGTGTAGCTCTAAGACTTTACAACACATGTAACTCCATGGAACCACCACAATCAGGTATTCAACTGGACTATCATGGTAAGAGTCCCCTGTGCTCCCCAGATACCCACCCTCGCTGCCCCATCCCTTGTGCTTGGCAACCACTAACCCGATAATTGTTTACGTTAACACTGAATGCAGTCTGTGTCCCTTTGAGATTTGCTTTTTCATGCCACCCGATTTCTTTGAGGGTCACCCATGTTGAACATATCAATAGCTCGTTACTTTTCGTTGTTGGCTACCGTTCCCTTGTAGGGATGACCCACTATTTGTTTAGCTGTTCATCCATTGAAGGACTTGTGGGTAGTTTCCAGTTAGGGGCTTTAACAAATATAGCTGCTATTAACATTCATGCACAAGTTTCTACCAGTTTTCCTTTCTCAGGAGCGCAGCAGCTGGGTCACATGGTAAGTCCACTTCTAGTTTTAAAAAGAACTGCCAACCTATAGTCCGCAGCAGCTGTCCCTACAGCTCATAAGCAATGTGCAAGTGGACCGGTTTCTCAGCATGCTTGCCAGCATTTGTGTTACTGGTTTTGATTCTGGCTGTTCTGACAGATGTGCCGTGATGCCTCGTGGTGGTTGTCACCTGCATGTCTCTGAGGGAGGACAATGTTGAACAACTCCTCATGTGCTTGTCACCTGTACCTCAAACACAGGCTGGTTTGGAAATTTGGATGCATCGATGTGAGACCTGCGATGCCCTCTGCAGGCAACTGGAGATCTCTGGAGAAACTGAACTAAAGGGGCTTCTTATGTGAGGACACCGAGTGCAGGGGGAGGTGGGAAGAGCAGATGAGTCTCAGGCCAGAGGTGGCAACGTGCTTTGCCATCTTCCCCCTGGCACCCAGGCAGGAGATGGATGATTGCATTTTTCTGTGTCACGAGCCACCTCAAAATGTAGTGGTTTAAAACAGCAATCACTTACTTTCCATAGAAATTGAGAATTTGGGCAGGTCTCAGTGAGGACAGCTCGTTTTCCCTTCACACAATGTCATCTGGAGTGGTTTGGCTGGGGCTGGAGGATCTGCCTCCAGAATGGCTCCGTCACCTGGCTGCAGGCTGGCAGTACAATCCAGGAAGTCGACCAGTAGCATGGGTGCCTCTCTGCATGGGCCCCTCCAGGGCACCACTCGGGCTTCCTTACAGCGTTGTAGCTGATCTCTATGAGCCAGAATGCCAAGAAGCCTGGGCAGAAGCCACAAGACTTTCTGTGATCTAGCCTTGGAAGCCTTGGAAGTCACTTTTACTATATTCCATTGGTCAAGGAAGTCACTAAGGTGAGCCCAAGTTCAAGGGAAGGGAGAGCGGGTCCACCTCTCAATAAGACAAGTAGGAAAAATTCGTGGCAGAATGGGCGCAGTGGCCCATGCCTGTAATCCCAGCACTCTGGGAGGCTGAGGCGGGCAGATCGCTTGAGGCCAAGAGCTGAAGAAAGAACTTGTGGCTCTCTTAATCTACCAGACACATGAAGCTTTCAAGAGTTTTTTAGTAACTCATTCTCAAATGCGAACGGATAGCTAAGGATCACAAGACATTTGATGAAACCCTCTAATATGAAGACAGAGATAAAAAGAAAGAATAAAGAGACAAAAAGAATAGAGGAAACTGTAAAAAAAAAAAAAAAAAAGATATTAGAGGGGGTAGGACCAGGCGTGTGTCTCACACCTGTAATCCCAGCACTTTGGGAGGCTAAAGTGGGAGGATCGCTTGAGGTCAGGAGTTCAAGACAAGCCTGGCCAACATGGTGAATCCCTACTAAAGAGACTTTTAGTTTCTACTAAAAATACAAAAGTTAGCCAGGCGTGATGGTGGGTGCCAGTAATCTGAGCTACTTGGGAAGCTGAGGCAAGAGAACCTCTTGGACCCAGAGGGGGAGATTGCAGTGAGCCAAGATTGCACCACTGCACGCCGGCAGTGAGGAAATAGGTTCGAAGCAAAATGCAGCAGAAGGTAGAGAGATTTCTTATGCAGCAGAAGGTAGAGAGATTTCTTATGCAGCAGAAGGTAGAGAGATTTCTTATGCAGCAGAAGGTAGAGAGATTTCTTATAAAACTGCATTCCCACCTCTGCATGGCCTCTTCCCCTATCAAACACAATTTTTTTTTCTTTTTTTGCAGGGGATAGACAGGGTCTCGCACTGTCACTCAGGCTGGAGTTCAGTGGCATGATCTTGGTTCACTGCAGCCCCAACCTCTTGAGCTCAAGCGATCCTCTTGCCTCAGCCTCCCGAGTAGCTGGGACTATAGGCACACACCACCGTGTCTGGCTAATTTTAAAAGAAATTTTCACAGACATGGAATCTCATCATATTGCTCAGTCTACAATCCATTTCTTCTTTTTTATTTTTTTCATATTCTCTTTTTTCCTACTTTTTTCTTCTTCCTTTGTGTTTTTCATATATTTTTGTTATTTTTTTATTTGCTAGGCTTCAGTAGACACAACCTTTTTTTTAAAGATGATGTCTTGATTTTGTTGCCCAGGCTGGAGTGCAGTGGTACAATCTCGGCTCACTGCAACCTCCGCCTCCCAGGTTCAAGCGATTCTCCTGCTTCAGCCTCCTGAGTAGCTGGGATTACAGGCACCCACCACACCTGGTTAATTTTTATGTTTTAGTAGAGACAGGGTTTCGCCATGCTGGCCAGGCTGGTCTCAAACCCCTGACCTCAGGTCATCCACCTGCCTTGGCCTCCCAAAGTGCTGGGATTATAGGCGTGAGCCACCGCGCCCAGCCTGACACAATCCATTTTTAAGGGAAATGTTTCGAAGTATGTTTGCAACCTCTGTCCACATTGTTGTGTTTAGCCATGGCTGGTTCGCTCTCTTCGTTGTACGATGTTTCACTGAATTACAACATCGTGATTTATTGGTCCATTCTGCTGTTGCCAAATCACGCAGAACTTTGTCTCCCACGTTGTAAGTGTCAGATTTGACTGCACGTGCACAGGAAACTATCAGAAGACTTTGTTGTTGTTGTTGAAAAGTTTGGGAAATGGGTTGGAGAAAGCTAAACTCAATACTGGGACCCCAGAAAGAAATTGCCAAAGCTTAGAAGTTATTGAGGAAGCCAGAGACCATGGTAGGGGGAAGAGAAATAGATTCAGGAGCCATTGGGATGGAGGACTCCACGAATCCCGCTGGTGAGTTGGGTGAGGAGGTTGACTGTGAGGGAGAACACCAGTGTGACTCCGGGGTATCTGGCCTCTTAGCCGGCTGGAGGATGGCACCCCGACACCACACCAGAGGAGGAACAGGAGTAAGGAGGCACCCCATTGGGGACATGCTGAATTCGAGCGGCCTGTGAGACATCCATGTGGAGACATCAAATAGGTAGCTGAACATTTTCATCCAGAGCTCTAAAAAGAAGTTATGGGTACAGATGTAGATTTGGGAGTCAGAACCATGAAACTACATTAGTTGCACAGGAAGATCTTAGAATGTGAAGAGACCAAGGCCTGAACCTTGAGAAAAATCCACGTTTAATAAGTGCAGGGAGACCCGCAGACTATTGTAAAAGCTCAGGCAGGCAGGTGTGGATGAGGGCTGAGACCAGGGAGGGACAGAGAGCAACAGGTTCAGAAACTATTCAGGGGAAGGTTCTGTGCATGTGGGTGATGGGTGGGGCATGCAGACTGAGGGAGGGCCTGCTGGGTTTTCAGGATAGTGGGGAGCAGGAGCCACCAGAGAGAAAGGGGGAAAACCAGGAGACACTCAGGAATAAAACTGTCCTCTTCTGTAAAAACTCTAGGTCTTAGAATTGCCATTGCTAAATGACTTCCTGTATGAGACTGTCTTCATCCTGCTATGAAGAAATACCCGAGACTGGTTAATTTATAGTGAAAAAGAGGTTTAATGAACCCCCAGTTCCACATAGCTGGGAGGCCTCACAGTGATGGCGGAAGGTGAAGGAGGAACAAAGGCACGTCTTACATGGTGACAGGCAAGAGAACGTGTGCAGAGGAACAGCCTTTATAAAACCATCAGATCTCTTACTGGATAACAAGTAAAGAAAAAAAAAAACATGAGATCTCGTCATGAGACTTATTCACTATCTTGAGAACAGCACAGAAAAAACCCTCCCTGCGATTCAATTACCTCCCACAGGGTCCCTCCCATGACACGAGGGGATTATGGGAGCTACAATTCAAGATGAGATTTGGGTGGGGACACATATCCTTTCTTCTTCTGACGACCTTGCATCCATCACATTTCTGTCCTAAGTTAGCTCCTTTCCCCACTGGGGGACCCAGGCGATGATGGAATGCTTGTTCCAGCCCAAATACTGTGAATAGACTTTCTGTGGTCACATTCATTTAGTAAGAGAAACGTGTGGACCCGGAAGTTTTCTCTTGCAGATGTGGATTTTGTTCCTCCTTCACAGACACAGGCCCTTTAGTGTCTCAGTAGCTGCCTCCCTGGCTGTGGCCCAGGTGGGCCTGGGATATCTCCTCCGTGCTGAGGAAGCTCACAGGGAGTGTCAAGGAGCAGCTCCACATCTGCCCCACGCCCTCCCCACAGGCACCTCAAGGAGAAGGCGTCCACCCAGGGACCACCATGGGGACACTGCTCTGAAAACTTCCAGGGTTAGTGGGGAACCAGAATTCCCAAATCACCAAACTGAGTTGACCCTCTGGAACGATCCTGTGGGCGTCTCGATCCTGGAAGGAGCAGTGCCAAATAGCCCCACCGTGTCCTAACCCACACGTCACAGTGCCCTTCGTGAAGGTCACTAGGTGATTGTCCCTGGTGACCACCCACTGGAAAGAACCCAAAGCAGGACTGAGAATGGAAAGCAAGAGGCTCAAGATGGGAACACGCCAGACCCAACACAAGGTTAAGGACTTGTAGACTTACCCTGGGCTTGTTCACACTTGACCCAGAAACCTGAGATGTGGCTTTTCTGAAGCGTCCAATTTATGAAGTTGAAAACTGGGGCAAACTCATTTGTTTGTGTGATGTTCATGGCCAACAGTTAATCACCAAGGGTAAGTGGAAGAAATCATCCCTGTTCATTTGCAAATGGAAATCAAATGAGGACTGTGCCGAAATGCATCAGCATTTTCACTTCCAACTGCAAGGATTTCAGAAGACAGCTGACCTTGGGCTGCCTGGCAGGCACGGGCCTGGCGCCGATACTTCTGCTCAGAGCGCCTGTGCTTTTTGGTAAGGCTCAGGACGTTCCCTGCCATCCCTGCCCGTCTCAAAGGCAGACCCATTTAGTCTGAAAAGTAGGGAGCATTTTCAGATGCTGCGAATTCATGTGCACACGCCAGTGCCACTTCCTGCTTTTTTATGGCTCTGCCGAGACTCGGGATGCACTTCACCTTGCTGAAGGGGCGCAGCTAATTATGCTGAAATCCTTCCAACAGGCGAAGTGATGTGTTTATAAATCCTCCTTGCTGACCTGTTGGCCTCAAGAAGTTTTATAATAATAAAGCATTTCCATGTCGAGTGGGTTCTCTCCCCTCCACCCCCGAAAGTGCAATGTTTTCTGTTCATGGGCAGTTTGTTAATACCACATTTTATGCCCCCAAAGGCGCGTGCATCAAGTCCTGAAGCAATAGCCCCCTGTATCAGATGTGTAATGGATTTCTCTCCATGCTGCGGGATTCATTACCATGATTTATGGCTGTTTTAATGTACACAGCCTTCTTAAACAACTTAGAGTTGATTGTTCTGGAACTAGTCTTGGGTCCAGGATAACTCTGGAGGGGTGCCATTGTTCAGGAAAGCTACCGGTGTCCCTGAGGAGGTAAACAACCTTGGATCTAAGGCTCAAGTTACCCCACAACCACTCCAGCAACTCAAGTGGGAAGTGCCTTACCAGGGGTAAGGGACTGCCAGAGTGCTCCCTGGCGGGAAGCGAGTGCCCCTGGCGGGAAGTGAGTGCCCCCTGGTGGGAAGTGAGTGCCCCCTGGTGGGAAGCGAGTGCCCCCTGGTGGGAAGTGAATGCCCCCTGGCGGGAAGTGAGTGCCCCCCTGGCGGGAAGTGAGTGCCCCCTGGTGGGAAGCGAGTGCCCCCTGGTGGGAAGTGAATGCCCCCTGGCGGGAAGTGAGTGCCCCCCTGGCGGGAAGTGAGTGCCCCCTGGCGGGAAGTGAGTGCCCCCTGGTGGGAAGTGAGTGCCCCCTGGCAGGAAGCGAGTGCTCCCTGGCGGGAAGTGAGTCCTCTCTGCTGATTCTGTAGAGCACTCTTCCCCTGTAAGCCCAGCAGAACTGAGCCAGACCACAGGGAGGAGGAGGGTCAGGAACCCCAGCAGAGCTGAGCAGGACCACAGAGGGGATGGGCACCCCAGCTGGCCTTCTTGTCAGGGCATCTCGACGGCATTTCCAAGAGGAGGCCTTCGGAGACTGAGGGACAAGAGAGCAGGGCCTGAACCCTGTTCGAGGCATCCTCGGACAGGACCAGTCTGTGTTACTCAGTGCACAAAGATCCTCCCATTTATTCAGAAACAACCTTTGTGGGATTGTTTATAGTACGTGAAGAATGGCTTTAGTACCTTGTCCAAGTACAAGGCCATCATTTCAACCTAAACCAAGTCCCTGCTGACAACTGGGACAATCGGACAGGTTCTCCCAGAAGGGCAGGAGGCATGAACACGGGAGGGTAGACACACGTTGAGAGGCGTGAGGGGAGGCGCCGGCACTCTGTTCTTTCCACAGCTCCTTTGTTTCATGTAAAACCACACGGGTGTCAACTGGAGGCTCCAGCTAGACAGGCCAGGGCTCCAATGAAGAAAGGAAGAAGTTTCCAGAAAGGGGTTGGAGGAGCGCCAGGCGCAGAACAGAGGGAGGGTAACTTTCAGGAAGTCGCTCTGGAGGAAGCAGAGACCACCCAGGAGTTTCTACGCTCCTCCCCAGGAGTCCCCTGCATTCCAGCAGAGGCAGGGAGTGGGGTCGGGTCCCTTGCGAGGGCAGATCATTCACCTGTGCCCAGGCGTGAACCACCATGGGAAGTAAATGGACCCCGGATGGCCGAGGGCTCTTCGTCCACACGCCAGTGGATCTCTTGGCCAACTGCCCCTGCCTTTGTTTTTTTTTTTTTTTTTTGAGACGGAGTCTCACTCTGGCACCCAGATTGGAGTGTCCACCATGCCTGGCTAATTTTTGTATTTTTAGTAAAGACAGGGTTTTGCCAGGTTGGTAGGTTGAACTCCTGACCTAAGGTGATCTGCCCGCCTCAGCCTCCCAACGTGCTGGGATTTCAGGCATGAACCACTGTGCCCGGCCAGTCAACCGCCATGTAATGTGCCAGCCACCTTGGTGTCCAGAGAGCCTATAGGGAATCAGAGTTCATTTAACCAAGAGCTGTTTCATTTTTAATATAGCATGGGATAGAGTATCTTTAGCAAAATGTGATATTTTCTTGCTTTTTTCTGTGATAGTTTCACAGGCCCCTGGTCTTATGCCTCCAGTGAGACCATCGGTTAATGAACACGTATGTAGCAGCTGCTGCATACACCACCCCCGGCTGAATTCTCACAAGCACCCAGCAGCTGCTCCGTATTCCAGGACATTACCATCGTCTTGCTGAAGAAGCGGGCTGTGGAGAGGTTCTGCCACGTGTCTGCGGTCACACGACTGGTAAGAGAGCAGCCCCGAGTTTCCATTTCTGCCTGTGCCCCTTCAGGATGGGCACAGCGGGCCTCCCCCTGCATGTGGAAGGGAAGCAGCTCCACAGCCGTCCACTCTAGAGACTGGAGCTCAGGCCTGGAGTTCGAGCCCCGAGCCCCGTCTGCGGCTCCCCGAAGCCTCAGACCCCCAGTCTCTCCATGCAGCCGCCTACCGTGCTCTGCGCTGGGAACGATGAGGGTACCTACCTCCCACCTGCACAACAGGGTGGCAACTGTGGTGTCTGTGCCCCTCACTGAGTAATGCACATGGACACCTGGCACAGAGCCAGCCCTGGCCAGCGTGCATTCCTTGGGATTTCATGATAGTAGCTCTTTTATCTGGAAGTGAAGTGAAATATCTGGGGGCAGCTCCTCTGACCTGGAGTTTAGACCCATCTCTTCATTGGGGTTTTATGGAGTATGTTTACACCACACAACAGTCCCACTCCTAGAAACCTTTGCATCCTCTGTTGCAGGGCCTGGGGAAGGGAAGTTCTGTGCAGAGCTGAGGCTGAGGCTGAGGACATCTGAGATAAGTCGAAGGACATCTGAAGAGACAGAAAGCCAGGCTTTGCTAGAACTAAGTCCTTTTCTTGAACGAAACGCTAGAACTAAACCAAACTCAGCTCCAGAGACCGACACTGACCCACACGGCCCCTGTCTCATAAACACATGGAACACACAACCCACCAGGCGTTCCTGAAAACCCAGTATGTAAAAGAGGACCTAAGAGGAAACAGCAGAATGGCTGATAACCGAGAGGGTAGAATTGAACTTCTGAAAAAGTCTTAGCATCCTCACACACGTTCAGCAGAGTGGCTGGCTTCATAAAAGAAGAGTAAGTTCTTAAGAAAAGGAGAAATCAAAACTATGTTCAGGAAGAAGCATAGAACTGCTGAGATGAAAAGCTTACACTGATACAATGAAGGATAAATGGGAAGGAATCTTCCCTTCACATAGAGCAAAGCAACAAAGAGATGGAAACTATCAGAGAAACACCAAGAAACAGAGGGTGGGGCACGGTGGCTCCCACGTGTCACCCCAGCGCTTTGGGAGGTCAAGGCAGGCAGAATACCTCAGGTCAGGAGTTTGAGACCAGCATGTCCAATATAGTGAAACCTCATCTCTACTAAAAGTACAAAAATTAGCCAGACGTGGTGGCACACACCTGTAGTCTCAGCTAGTCTACTCGGGAGGCTGAGGCAGGAGAATTGCTTGAACCCGGGAGGCGGAGGTTGCAATGAGCCACGACTGCACCACTGCACTCCAGCCTGGGTGACAGAGCAAGACTCCAACCCAAAAACCAAACAAAACAGAAAACGCCACAGAGATTTGACATCTATCTAATAGGAGTTACAGAAAAGTAACTACAGAAGGAAAGAGAATTTCAAAGAAATAAAACAGGGAAGAAATCATAGAAGACAATTCTCTGAGCAGAAGAAAGTCATATTATTGGATGACAAAGACCTAGAGAATAGCAGCAGAATGAATTTAAAACACGGTCTCACACCAAGACACACTCTGATGAAATTGTAGAATATAAATAAAATCCTAAGAGCTTCTGGGAGGAGAGAAGGCAGCTCTACCGCAACAAGGCTCCTCAGATTTCTTTTTGGCAATAATATGTGATAATACAATGAAGTGAAGTGTCCAAAACTCAGAGGGAAAAGTTGCTGAACCTAGAATTCCAGAGCACATGAACAATTAGCCACCTGCGAGGTCAAAAAACGGATATCCATATGCCACACAAGACCTGAAAAAATTACTCAAGTTGGTACTCCAGCAAAGTGAAATACAGGACTCGGGGGCACCTACAGATCTACCACAGTGGGTGACTGGAGGAACTACGGCGTTGACACATGACGGAAAACTGAGCAGCTGAAAAGCAGCAGGACACATTGTAGCATGATGGGGGCACTACTTATGCTAAACACACACATACGCAGGTGCAAAATATACACTTTTATGGATATGTGAAGATTTAGGGAAATTCAAATGTGAAGGTCTGGAGTATGCACAGGTGTGGTGGGAGGAAGTTGGGGTTGGGAGAAGACGGAGTGATCGAAGTGACTTTAGACCTTTCAGTAATATTTTAAATTTTACAAGGAGAATGTACACACACACACACATCATAGTAAAATTATAAAAACAAAAATATAAGCAAAGCAAAGCACAAGTCTATTCGACAGTAAGTGCAAAGCTGGAAAAAATTAATTAAGAGACAGTCACCTAGACCTTCTGCCTGGAAGAGTCCACTTTGAGCGGCAGAGCTTTGGAAGCCAAGGATTATGTTTCTTTTTATAGGTCCAGTCATACCGTCTGGCTCCAAAGGGAATCACATCATCATAAAATCACAAGTGGATTTTTAAACAATTTTATTGAGATGTAATTCACACACCATCAATTGAGACTGTAGGATTCAGTGGTTTTTAGTATATTCAGAGTTGGCCAACCATCACCACGAGCAGTTTGAGAACTTTTGTATCACACCAAAAAGAAAGAAACCCTCTGCCCGCTGCAGTCATCCTCCATTTCTCCCTGATACGTCTCCCCCCTCCAGTCCCAGGCAACCACTCATCTATTCATTGCCTCTGAGGATTCGCCAGCTAGGAACGTTTCATGTAAATGGAATCATGTAATAGGTGGTCTTTAGCGACTGGCTGCCTGTGCTTGGCAGAAAGTTTTCAAGGCTTATCTACGTCGTAGGGTGTGTCAACACTTCACTCCTTTTCATTGCTGAATAACATTCTACTGCATGGACATTTCACGTTTTCTTCATCCAGTTCCTCAGTTCCTGGATATTTGGGTCGTCTCCACTTTTTGGCTATAGCAAAAACTATGCTTCCGTGAACATTCGTGAACAAGATTTTGGGTGAACGTGTTTTCATTCTTCCTGGGTATATACCTAGGAGTAGCCCATATGGCAACTTTATGTGCAACTTTTTTCATTCTGTCACCCAGGCTGCAGTGCAGTGACACAATCTCAGCTCACTACAACCTCCACCTCCCAGGTTCAAGCTATTCTCGTGCCTCGGCCTCCTGATAGCTGGGACTACAGGTATGCACAACCAGGCCCGGCTAATTTTTGTATTTTTAGTAGAGATGGGGTTTTGCTATGTTGGCCACACTGGTTTCAAACTCCTGACCTCAAGTGATCCACCCACCTTGGCCTCACAAAATGCTGGGATTATAGGAGTGAACCACCATGGCTGGCCCCGTTTACCTTTTTTTTTTTTTAATTAAAACAACAACATTTTTTAAGACAAGGTCTCACTCTATTACCCAGGCTGGAGTGCGGTGGCACAATAATGGCTTGATGCAACCTCAACGTCCTGGACTCAAGAGGTCCTCACATCTAGCTAGGACTAGCCTAACTAGTTAGCTAGGACTACAGGTGTGCACCACCACGTCGGGCTAATTTTTAAATTTTTAGAAAATTTAAAAATTAAAAGAATCAATGCAACAATAAGAGTTAACGATCCTAAAGACCCATAAAGAGATTTAGACTCAACGAGACAGAAAATTGATGAGGACAATCAGGACTTGAACTCAGATGCGGAACAAGTAAACTTAATAAATATCTATAGAGCTCTCCATTTTAAATACACAAAATATTGATCGGCCATTATTAATACCCATTTTTAGAATAAAGCAATGTTCCCATCCTCTCTCCCTCTTTTTCTTCCTCTTTCTTCCTCTCCTTCACTCCTTTTCTCTTTCTTTTCTTCTTTCCAAAAAAAAAAAAAAAAACTTTCACTGTTTAAGTCAGCCCATCTATGGCAGGTTTCATCCTGAGGCCTCTCATCTTGGCTGGTAGGCAGCCACCATTTCTGCATGTGCTCACATGGCCTCTTGTTTGTCCTCCTGTGGAGAGGGGGAGGTCTAATGTCTCTTTCTTTTTCTAATAAAAATAAATAAATAAATAAATAACTTTTTTGTAGAGTTAGTCTCTTTATGTTGCCCACACTTTGTCTTAAACTCCTGGGCTCAAGTGATCCTTCTGCCTTGGCCTCCCAGTGTTCTAGGATTACAGGCATGAGCCACCAGCCTGGCCTATGTTTAACTTTTTGAGAAATTGCCAGACTGTGTCCAAAGTGGCGGCACCGTCTTACATTCCCGCCAGCAGTGTATGAGGGTCCGATTTTCCCATGTCTTTCCAGCACTTGTTCTTAGCCACGATTTTGATGACCGCCATCCTGGCAGGTGTGAAGTGGGGTCTCATTGTGGCTTTGACTAGTTCTCCAATAAGGCAAATGCCTTTTACTGCATTTTCCAGCCACAGAACCACCAAGTGTGGAAGACTGGACGATAATTACAAAACAGAACGCAAGCACAGAACTTGGGAGTGTGCAAATGAGAACAAATACAGACTGGGGGAGACCAGCGAAGAAAAGCAGGAAGAAGGGCAGCGCGTTAACATCCTCCTCTTCCATCGCGGGGAGGCGAGAACTGGAACGAAATATGTTGGCAGAAGTAAATGAAGAGAAAAGGTGGGACGGGGACCCGGCCTTCTGCAGCTCGCATAGCCAGGCACGTTTGTTAGTTTATGTTACTTACAGACAGTTACTATTTACGTGATGTCACAAATGGCATATATTTTACATCAACTTATCATCATCAACTGTGAAGGAGTGGATTTGAAGGGGGAAATGAGGCATTTAATTTTTATTGCAATTAAGATGCATGCGTATTTACTAACCCGTACTCAATAACTATGTACACGTGCTAACCTGTGCGTGCACAGAAGCAGAGCCGTGTGTGTGCACACCGTGAAGGAACCCAGGAGAGTCCGCAGCACATCCTCAGCGATGCGGCGTGAACTGGGGGTGCGAGGGGTGTTCAGATCTCCACTGAATTGTAGGTAGGGACAGTACTCAAATATTTTGTTTACTTTCTATCAGAAAATAAGTTCTACATCCTTAAAAATGCCTTTCCTAGAAAAAAGAGAAAAATTCATCCTGGTCCTTTTGCCCCTGCTGCTCCCCTAGAGACCACCGTCTCTGGAACCTCATGGCCGGATTGCCCGGTGTCTTCCGGAATCATCTTCCAGCTTTTGCTAGATGTGAATCTGACCATGTCCATTCCCCACTCTAAAAATCTTCATTGTCTTTAAAGAAAACACAGCAGCAATCAAACAGCGGCGGTGTTCAGAATGTTCCAGAGCTGGTGTGGCCTGGGCGCGGGTCGTGGGGAGAGCCACAGGGAGTGGCCACCAGTCACGAAGCAGGAGGCTGTTCTGCGTGTGCGGCTCCACACTCAGGCGCGGAGTAAACCGAGTGCTTTTAACAATCTCATGGTGGGAACCGCATCTCTAAGGCATCATGAAACCCAGAAACCATAAAGGAAAATATTGATAAATTTGACTAAATAAAAATGTCACTGTTTTTTTGAAAGAAAAATGCATAAATCAAACCATTATAGAGACAAACTGAGAATAAATATTTATAACACATACAATACACTGAGAACTAATCTCGTCAATTTACAAAGAGCTCCTCCAGCTCAGCATGAAAAAGACCAGACATCCAAAAGAAAAACATGGTCACAGGACAGAAAGTGAGAGGTGATTCTTAGGAAAAGAAACACAAATGATTTGATGCCTACGAAAACACCCCCATCATCACTCATAGGAAAAGATAAATGCAAGTTAAGACTACATTTAGGCCGGGCTTGGTGGTTCACACCTGGTAATCCCAGCTCGGGAGGCTGAGGCATGTGGATCACTTGAGGTCAGGAGTTGGAGACCATCCTGGCCAACATGGAGAAACCCTTTCTCTACTAAAAATACAAAAATTAGCTGGGCATGGTGGCTGGTGCCTGTAATCCCAGCTACTCGGGAGGCTGGTGCCTGTAATCCCAGCTACTCAGGAGGCTGAGGCAGGAGAATGCCTGAACCCAGGAAGCGGAGGTTGTGGTGAGCTGAGATTGCGCCACTGTACTCCAGCCTGGGCAACAGAGCAAGACTCTGTCTCAACAACAACAAAAACCCAAAAGTTAACCGGATCTGGGGGTGCATGCCTGTAATCGCAGCTACTCAGGAGGCTGAAACAGGAGGATCACTTGAGCCTGGGAAACAGGTTGCCGTGAGCCGAGATCGTGCCACCACACTCTACCCTGGGCAACAGAGCGAGACTCTGTCTTAAAAAAAGAAAAAACAAAACAAGAAAGACTAACTTGAAATACTATTTCTCACCTACCAGACTGGAAAACATGATAAAGTTTGGGGTAAGGAGGTGGAGAAACAAGCTCAGTCTCTTTGGTGGGCAATTTGGTATTATCTATAAAAACTTTAAATGAATATCCTCTGCCTCCAGAAGTTCTCTGTAATATCCTTGGAAACAGATCTTTATATATATACACACACATATATAAAGACATTATATATTTTTTTTTCTCTTTTTTGAGATGGAGTCTCATTCTGTCGCCCAGGCTGCAGTGCAGTGTTGTGACTACAGCTTACTGGGCTCAGAAAATTCTCCCACCCACCTCAGCCTTCCAGGTAGCTGGCATCACAAGTGTTCGCCACCACATCTGGCTATGTTTTTTTCCCCTGGTCTCACCATGTGGCCCAGCCTGGTCTGTAACTCCTGGCCTCAAGCAGTCCTCCCACCTCAGCCTCCCCAAATGCTGGAATTACAGGCATAAGCTACTGTGCCTGGCCAAAAATACCTTTATAAGGACATTCAGCATAGCTGTTTTTAGCAGCACCTCAGGCCAAGGGCTCCTCGTCTTGGCTCAGTGTAAGGCGTGCACTGAATAAATACTTAAGTCACGGAGCTTAAACATTGACTGCAGCAGACAGGCAGCATCAAAGAAACAGCAGAGGGTGTGCAGGGCGCTGAGGCAGCGGCCACCTCCTTCCCAAGGCCAGCCATGGCAAGCCCCGCCTCATCTAACAAGGTGGCCAGGCCTCCAGGTTGCTGGTGCCCCGCCCTGGCTTTCGACAGGTGCCTCACAGGACAGACCACCGAGGGTCATCTGTGCCTCTTCGGCCATCCATGGCCAGCATTCCTGCACTCATTTACTTAAAATTCTACTACTAAATCCAGTTAGTTGAGGTTCTTGACTACAAAAAAAGAAACTGATTAATTTAGGCAAAAAACAAAAACTGTTGGCAACACATCAGAGTGAACCACATGCCTGGAGTCACGCTGCAGTCGTGCCTGTGGAAAGCCTGGAGGCAGGTCCCCAGGTCCCCGTGTCCCTTCTGCCTTGCCAGCCCTCCACCTGGGCAGGGCTCTGCCCACGCCTGCTGGTGAGAGGCGGATACTGAGGCACCGAGGCTACGAGGAATGCCCTCTGCCTGAAGCACCTCCGCTCTCCACCCAAGGGCCACCTCAAGGTCTGCCCAGCAGAGAGGGAGACGGGGAGTCCTTTGTTGCCACTTCCTGCGTACACAGACACCTCTGTGACTCCCAGGCAGCGCTGCAGCACGTCTGAACCCCCGCTGATGGGTATTAATCAGCTGAGTGTGGTGATAAAGGGCCCTGTCTGACAGGCATCCGCGCCAGCACCGCTGGTTTACAGCTCGCCACCAAGGCCACGATGGAAGGGGGTTTCTAAGACCAGGAGAGAAGGAGCGGTGTGAGCATTTCACAGAGAAAGCATTGATTTCCATTGGCGTCGGCCATTCCAGGCCTGGGCCAACCCACCTGCACATGGAGTGTCAGGCAGGAAATGTGCTGGAGAATCTGGCTCAGCTGGAACTTCCTAAATTTGACCCTGTGTCTGAGAGGCAAGAAGGCCTTGGAGACCCTGCTCCTGCGTTGAGAAGCTTCCACTTTCCAAAGAGATCATGTGTGTTATGGGTGGAATTACATCCCCTAAAATTCACACATCAGAGCCTAACCCCAGTGCCTGTGAAGGTGACCTCATGGGGAAATGGGGTCTTTGCAGATGTCATCAAGGTGGGATGAGGTCACTAGGCCCCTAATCCAGTGTGCCTGTGCCCTCATGAATGAGGGAGATTCAGACACAGAGAGAGACGGCACACGGGCACAGCGAGGGGTGGGCACGCAGGAAGAGGTGGGGTGATGCTTCCAGGAGCCGGGACCACCAGAGATTGCCAGCAACCTCCAGAAGCTGGAGCGTGGCCTGGGACAGACTCCCCCTCGGCCACAGAAAGATCCAGCCCTGCCCGGGGCTCGACCTCGGCTGTCCAGTCTGTGAGCCGTGAGCTGACATTCCCGTCGTTCAGGCCTCGGGGTTTGTGCTCCTTGGTTCTGGCAGTCCTGGGAAAGTAGTGACACACCGTGTGCAGCCACTCACTATGCAGCGGACTCCATGACCCCATGGGTCACGCCATCAGCGCAGCGTCCATATTCACAAGTCACATGGAGAATTTTCACCTGACCCATCCATTTAATTCAAGGGAAAAGAAGACAGGTTCATTGCACGACTGCTTTTGCGGGTCTTCTTTCTCTTTTCCATCAGCAGTTGGCCTGCTGTGCCCCCTGGTTCTGTGGTTCTGGTGACCGAGGGGAGCTGTGGGCAGACACCCATCACCATCGCGCTGGGTCTGAGCTCGGCAGCCACTGCGAGCCAATGTCCACCTCTGCGACCTAATTCAGAACTCGGGCGGGGCCTGAGATGCGTGCACAGGGCTCCATTAGGAGAGAAAGCTGCCTGCACCACGGCTGACTAATGCTGCTTTCAGGGCCAGGAAGCTGTCTCCTGGGAGGAAATATATTATTCTACAATTTCCCTAAAATATTAAAAGTGGAGTTCTGCTTTGGGAGGACCAGCCCGCACTGACTGACAGCGTCCTGGGGAGGACAGGCCTGAAGGGCTTTGGAAGTTCCACCAGGGCCTTCACCTCCTAAGGGCTGTCTTGGGAAAATGCAGACTTCTCTTGAGCACAGAAGAGAATATTCAGCTCTTCTGTGAATATTCAGCTGAGAACATTCAGTCTCAAAGACCAAGAACTTTAACTCCGCAAGGGGTTAGACACCACAGGGAAGGCGGTTGTGTGGTCGGGAGACAGAGCAATGATCACTTAAAACCCAGCTGAGGCTGGGGGCCGTGGCTCATGCCTGTAATCCCAGCATTTTGGGAGGCCGAGGCCAGCCAATCACTCAAGGTCCGGAGTTCGAGACCAGCCTGACCAACATGGTGAAACCCTGTCTCTGCTAAATATACAAATTAGCCGGGCGTGGTGGCACATGCCTGTAGTCCCAGCTACTCAGGAGGCTGAGGCAGGAGAATCAATTGAACCCAGGAGGCGGAGGTTGTGGTGAGGCAAGATCGCACCATTGTACTCCAGCCTGGGCAACAAGAGTGAGACTCCATCTCAAAGAAAAAAAAGAAAACCCAGCTGACATGAGAAGAACAGTGTAGATCTCAGCCTGAAAATCCAAGGAACATTTAAATTATCTCCAGCAAGATAAGATCTAGATTTTAGAGACCCCCAAGAGGTCTGTGCATAAAACGCAGAAGTCCATGAACTTGAGTGAGAAATAATTATATCTTTATTTTCACTAACTTCCGACTAAAATCTGACCCGCCCTTTAGTGATGAACCTGAGCTGCAAAGCGCCTCAGGTTGTATTAGCCTTGTGGCTCTGTCACCAGCAGAAGCACAGATATTTCTACTCTCACACGGTGCAGACATCTCCATATGCCTCGCATTTTTACAGAGGTATTCGAACGTTGTACGCACGTCCTTCCTTCCTCCGAGAGACCTGGTCATTTTGTGCATTGACAGAGCTCTTTCACACGTTTGTTCGAATGTTCCGAGGAGTATATTTCAGTGTCCGCGTTCTCCTTCTTAAGCCTAAGTATTTTGCATTATTCACTGAAACGCGTTCTTCTGAGAAGCTACCCTGGGTTCTACCAAACAGCCCTGCAATGGAGGGCACCTCAGGAGCTCCTGACCTAGGACGAGGCCTAGAGTCAGGTTCCAGTCAGGAGAGCAGAAGGCACTGTGCGTGCAGTCACGCGCCACCGAACTGCGGTCACCTTGACACTGTGTAGACAACAGATGTCCTGTAAGAATCTTTTTTTTTTTTTTTTTTTGGAAATGGAGTCTCACTCAGTCGGCCAGGCTGGAGTCCAGTGGCACAATCTCGGCTCACTGCAACTTCCACCTCCCAAGCTCAAGTGATTCTCCTGACTCAGCCGCCTGAGTAGCTGGGATCACAGGCGCCCGCCACCACATCTGGCTAATTTTTGTATTTTTAGTAGAGACGGGGTTTCACCATATTGGCCAGGCTGGTCTCGAACTCCTGGTCTCAAGTGATCTGCCCACCTCAGCCTTGCAAAGTGCTGGGATTCCAAGTGTGAGCCACCATTTCTATGTTTGATGTGTTTGGATGCCCAAATCCACACCATTGTGTGACAATTTTCTATAGTACTCAGTCTCAGACTCTAGAGCAGCTGGGGCCACAGGGGAGCCCACCACTCAGCTGCCAGGGACACCCACTGAGTCACCGAGACTCAAAATGCCTGGCATCACCCTTCTTCCCATCTCCCATCTTTTACCTTCGTTATCAGGGTCCAGCCAGAAGCCAGTGTGGTCTGCGGAGCCACAGGGTCAGCCGGCTGGGACTCCAGCAGAGCATGGGAGGGCGAGGCCAGGGCCCCAGTCAACAGCCAGGGTGTGGGAGCCTGCAGTGCTCGCCTGCCCAAGCGTGGCCATCAGTGTCCTAGGTTTCTCCAAAGTCCAAACACTTGCCCTCAGCCCAAGAAACACATAGAGTTTGAGAGCAAAATTTAGATGTTCGACCGCAGTCTCAACATCACGTCCCACAATATCCATTCACACACAGCACCAACGCCTCTGGCTGACAGCTCTGGCTGCCTGGGCTCGGCCGGGCTGTGGAAAGCATCGCGTCTCTGCGTGTTATTTATGCATCTGGAACGCCCGCTCCTGGGCTCCTGCAGCCACCTGCCTCTGCTTGTCTCATCCATAACAGCGGGCGTGCTTGTGCCACAGACACTGCTGAGGGAGAAGGAATAAAGTGATGAGACACTTACTGATTTATCCATCCTCAGGCAAACTTGATCTGGAGCATACAATAAATATCGTGATACCTGTGTGAATTAAAACAATCACTTACTTATTAGCGCTTGGCACCAGAAATACAGTCAGGATTAATGTCCCGGGATTCCTGATGCTCCCTCTCAGCTTATCTGTTTTACAAGTAAGCTCTTTGCCTTCTGAGTTCATTGTAGGAATTGCAGTTTTACATCAATTACATTTCCATTAGCATCGTAGATATCCCTTTTCATACAGCATTATCAGGCTACAGATACACAAAACGTCAATATTCTCCCTCACTACATTATGCTAATCACACTCAGAGCTCCAGTGCCGGGTCCGTCCAGGAGTCAGACGCTTGCACGGATGCAACATTTACAAGCAGCTGATCTTCCCAGGCAGCTGCCTCCCGCATTTGCAGATGCAGACGAGGACTAATGGGCCAGAGTAAAGCATGTGCCTGCCATGGTGACCTTCTAACCGTGCCGGCATCCCGAGATCTGTCACGCAGCTTCAGAGGCCACGCCGCGCCTCGTGGGGTCCTTCACCAGCTACTGCTCCACACTGCAGTCATAACTGCTCACATCAATGGCCAAAGTACAAAGAGTGACAACGTAAACTCACATCTGGGAATGTGTTTCTGGCTGGTTTTCAATCTCGACCCGATGATCTTACACCTCCATGTCCTACGGCCCCCATCAACCCTGTCCATGGAATTTGTTTGTTTATTTTGAGACGGAGTCTCACTCTGTCACCCAGGCTGGAGTGCAGTGGCGCAGTCTCGGCTCACCGCAACCTCCACCTCCCGGGTTCAAGCAGTTCACCTGCTTCAGCCTCCTGAGTACCTGGGATTACAGACGCACTACCACGCCCAGCTAACTTTTGTATTGTGTTAGATAGGGGTTTCATTGTGTTGTCCAGGCTGGTCTCAAACTCCTGACCTCAGGTGATCCTCCCAGCTCAGCCTCTCAATGTACGTGAGCCGCTGCACCCGGCCATCTCCATGGAATTTAAAGGTAGAAAAACAGCTGGAGGCTCCTGGTCAGTCACCAAATGGGCTGTTCCTCGACAGCCTAACAGCACATGTGCCCTTGGACCAGGCACCCATGGAAGGGCGGCTTCCCTCGCAGCAACCTTGAGTCAGATGCCTGCAAGTTTTCCTGATGTGCTCTCAAGGGGGCCTTGCAGAAGGAGGCATGGAGCAGGCAGGGCGAGGGCTCAGGTAAGGCGGCCTTGGCTGAACAGGGAAGCTGTGCTCTGAGGGTAGGGGGCAGGCCTCGGGCCCCTGTTCTAGCAGCCAACATGCAACACTGGAGCTCCTGGCCCGGCCCGGCAGTGCATGTTCAGCCCAGTGCACACCGGCTCACAGCCCCTTCCACGCATCTGTCATGGTCTCCATCCCGGGAAGGATTTCCCATCTCCCAGATGCCACCTGTCCCTGTCCCCATGCAGCCCACAAGAGCTCCCGTTGCCGAGGCTGTGCCAGGTCTGAGCCACAGAGTCTGGCATTTGCCGTGAGCTGCCTCAAGCGGCTCCTGCCTCCTGTGTGCGAGGTTTGCGTGTTCAGCACATGTAAGTCTCAGAGGTGGTGCTGTGGTTGAATTGTGTCCCCCAAGAGACAGGTGAAGTCCCTGCTCCAGAGTCTCAGAATGAGACTTTACTTGGGGACAGGGTTCTGCAGGCCTGGTTAGCAGGCGATGAGGCTGTGCTGGAGAAGGATGGGTCCCCAGTTCCATGCGACTCTGTCCTTCTGAGAAGATGGTCTGGCAGCACAGACACGGTGGGTGGAATGTCTGTGACACCAAAGGTAGAAATTGGAGCCAGGCAGCTGCCATCAAGAAACATCAGGAATTCCAAGAGGCCCTGGGAGCTGGGAGGGGAGGAGGGACTGTCCCCAAGATCCTCTGGAGGGGGCGGCCCGACCCACAGCTGGATCTCTGACTCGCAGCTCCAGATGGTGAGAACAGATTTCTGTTGTTTCAAGGCTGTCTGGGCACTTGGTCCTGGCTGGCTGAGCACACTCGCGTGGGGAGTGTGACCCTTATTTGCTGACATTCTTTTGTTGTTTTTGTTTTTTGTTTTACATGGAGTCTCGCTCTGTCGCCCAGGCTGGAGTGCAGTAAAGTGATCTCGGTTCACTGCAACCTCTGCCACCCGAGTTCAAGCAATTCCTGTGCCTCGGCCTCCTGAGTAGCTGGAATTATAGGCATGCGTTTCACCATGTTGCCCAGGCTGGTCTCGAACTCCTAAGTGCAGGTGATCTGCCTGCCTCAGCCTCCCAAAGTGCTAGGATGACAGGTGTGAGCCACTGTGCTCCGCTTAGCTGACTCTTAAATGCAGACGTCCAGCTGTGCAGAAGACCTGGAGGAGGCCATCTCAGCAGCACTGACTCAGGTGCTCTCCAACCCGCTCCAGAACCACCTCCAGAGTTCATGGCACCTTTAAAAAATTTTTCCTCAATGGTAATAAAACTTGATTCTCTGAGGGGAAACAGATTTTTGGAAGCACCAGAGACGGGTGATGAAGCTGGGTTGAGACACTGTGTTGGGTCAAGGGTGAACTGGGGCTAGAAAGTCACAAGGTCACATGTATCAAGGCAAGCAAGCCCAGAAGGGCCTTAGGAGGCCTGCATGGTGGATTCAATACACACGCATGTCATGCACGGTGGACTCAATACACATGTGTGTCATGCACGGTGGGTCAATACACACCCACGTCATGCATGGTGGACTTAATACACATGCGTGTCATGCATGGTAGACTATATACACATTGTGTCATGCACTGTGGACTCAATACACACGCATGTCATTCACAGTGGGTCAATATACATGTGTCATTCACAGTGGGTCAATACACACATGTTTCATGCATGGTGGACTCAAAACACACGTGTCATTCATGGTGGGTCAATACACACATGTCATGCACAGTAGGCTCTATACACATGTGTGTCATGCATGGTGGCCTCAATACCCGTGTGTCAGGTGTGGTGGACTACATACACACATATGTCATGGTCATGAGAAGAACATCCTGGAGACCAGCACTCAGGTGGATGTAGCTTCACTTTGTTTTTAAATCTTTTTATTTAGAAAAAAGTTTTTTGGAGTTGGAGTCTCTGTTACCCAGGCTGGAGTATAGTGGCGCCATCTTGGCTAATTGCAAGCTCTGCCTCCTGAGTTCAAGCAATTCTTCTACCTCAGCCTCCCGAGTAGGTGGGATTACAGATACCTGCCACCATGCCCAGCTAATTTTTGTAATTTTAGTAGAGACAGTGTTTCACCATGTTGGCCAGGCTGGTCTTGAACGTGTGACTTCAGGTGACCCACTCACTTCGGCCTCCCAAAGTGCTGGGATTACAGGCGTGAGCCACCACACCTGGTGGTGAAAAGATTTCATAGTCATAATTTGCCTGTCCTTAAAAATAATAATCCACAGACGTCTGGGCGAGTAGAAAGGGACCCGCTAGCATGTTTCACTGGCCGGCCACACGTTTCTGGGGCGGAAGCCTGCAAGACCACAGGGAAGCAGCAGAATTAAGGACTCGCTTCCGTTGTCCCCGCATGGATGCCCCATGCCTCTGTCACAAATCGCCACAGACTCAGTGGCTTCAATATTGTGAATGTCGTCTCCTCCGGTTCCACGGGTTAGAAGTCCTGCATGGTCTCCCAGGGTTACATCAGCACGTCGTGGGCTGTGGTCTTTCAGGGACTGCAGAGAAGAAGAACCCACTTCCTGCCTTCTGCAGCTTGAGAGGTGCCCATGCACCGTGGTCCCACCTGTCAACAGCCGAACTGCCTCCCTCTTCCCCTCTGTGATGTTACTGGGACCACCTTGATGATGCAGGACACCCTCCCTCCCTATTGAAGGTGAACCAAGCAGCACTTTCAATTCCATCCTAAATCCCCTCTGCCATGTAACCTAACACAGTCACAGGTTCAAATGAGATGGACACCTTGGGATGGGGGAAGAGGTCGTCACTGTGCTGACACATTCATTTATTCAAATGAAACATTTATACATTTATCAAACCTTTTTTTTTTGCCTTTACCACACCCCAGGCACTCTTCCAGATGCCGAGGACCACAGCAGAGAACAATGCAGATCCGATTCTTGATCTCAGGGAGCACACATTCCAAGGAATGGACAAAAAACAAGACAAAGAAGAACATACGGACCAGGGAGAGGAGCATCGCACACTGGGGGCAGTTGCGGGGAGGGAGGGGAAAGACAGTGGGGGGTGGGGAGGGAGAGGAGGGTGGGGAGGGATAACGTGGGGAGAAATGCCAGATATAGTATGCACTTAAAGTAAAATAAATAAATTTTTTTAAAAAAGAAGATGACCGGGTGTGGTGACTCATGCCTATAATCCCAGCACTTTGAGAGAGTCCTTGAGGCCAGGACTTCAAGACTAGCCAGGCAGCATAGCAGACTCGCTCTCTACAGAAAATTTTTAAAAATTTGCCTGGCCTGGTGGTGTGCACCTGTAGTCCCAGCTACTCATGGGGCTGAGGCAGGAGGATTGATTGAGCCCGGGAGGTTGAGACTGCAGTGAGCCATGATTGCACCACTGCACTACAGCTTGGATAAGAGAATGAGACCGGCCGGGCTCGGTGGCTCAAGCCTATAATCCCAGCACTTTGGGAGGCCGAGGCGGGTGGATCACGAGGTCAAGAGATCGAGACCATCCTGGTCAACATGGTGAAACCCCGTCTCTACTAAAGATACAAAAAATTAGCTGGGCATGGTGGTGCACGCCTGTAATCCCAGCTACTCAGGAGGCTGAGGCAGGAGAATTGCCTGAACCCAGGAGGCGGAGGTTGCGGTGAGCCGAGTCGCGCCATTGCACTCCAGCCTGGGTAACAAGAGCAAAACTCTGTCTCAAAAAAAAAAAAGAGAGTGAGACCCTGTCTCAAAAATAAATAGATAAATAAATAAATGACTTTAAAAGAAACAAGGTAAACTTGAGTATGTCATATCGGGTTGAGGGCTCAGAAGTGAAGCAGGGTAGTAATGACAGCCAGTGCTGCGTAGTGGGGGTGGATTATGTGTTCAGATGAGCTGCATAGAGAGGGTGAAATCTGATGAGTTCTGAAGGAGGGGGACCAAGCCTTCCAGGGAACTGGGCGAAGCTGCTTCCAAGCAGAGGGAGCAGCAGGTGCACAGGTCCTGAAGTGGGCATGCCTGGAATATTCTGGAGCCAAGCACTGTAGAGGGTAGCATGTGCATGAGGGCTGAGGACGAGGTGCTCAGGAATGGAAGAGAGGAGAGGCAGGTCCTCTGTGCCCTGGAGGTTGGGGGGGGATCCTCTATGGGGCTCTGGCTTCTGCTCCCTGGATGGCTTTGAGCAGGAAAGGCTGTGACTGCCTCTCTGTGCCCCAGATGAGAGGCTGCACCGGGATCGGGGGGCAGGATGGCTTTACTCTGCTCCAGTAAGGAAGGAGGGGCTTGGACCAGGGAGGTGAGTGCTATTGCTGCCCTTGCTGGATTCCAGATCTAGTGGGAAAATAGAGCTGAGAGAATCCTTGGACACATTGGATAAGAGCAGGTAAGAAGGGGTGGTGTCAAGAGTAACGCCAAGGATTCAGCCTGAGTGATGGGAAGGATGGAGCTGCCATTCTCTGAGGAAGAGAAAGGGCGTGTCTTGATGAGAGGGGAGGATGAGGCCTGGGTTTTTGGGCATTCTGAGTTTGAAATGCCCATGGGGTACCTATCTGGAGAGGTCAGTGTCAGTTAGACACACGAGTCACAGTCCAAAGGAGAACTCCAGGGCAGATATAAAGCTAGGTGTTATCACTAAGTAGAAGATATCCAAAGCCATGACACTTGGTGAAGGCCTCCAGGAGGGAAGAAAAGAGACTTGAGGATGGAGACTGGATATATTCCAAAGCTCTGAGCTTGGGAAAATGGGGAGGAGCCAGGAAAGAAGACTGCTAAGGAGCAGTGAGTGAAGAATAGAGAAAGCCCAGAAAGGGGATACCCTGGATCCCAAATAAAAAGAGCATTTCCAGAAAGATGAATTCATCGACGATGTCAGCTGCTGCAAAGAGTTTTGGTAATATGCACATTGAGAACTGGCCACTGGATTTAGCAACATGGTGGTCTCTAAGATCCTAATGAGAGGAATTTCAGGGAAGGGGTGGAGTAGACTGTATGAAGCTGGTCAAAAGAGTATGGAAAATTGCCAGTGGCCACACAATCTTAGAAAAGAAGGACATAGTGTGAGGACTTACACTTCCTAGTTTTAAAACATATTACAAAGCTATAGTGATCAAGACAGTGTGGTACGGGCCTAAGGATGGCTATACGGATCAATGGGATAGAGCTGAGAGTCTAAGAACAAGCCCTCACATGTATGGTCAATTGATGTTCAATTAGGATATCAAGACAATTCAATGGGAATAGCACAGTCTTTTCAACAAATGGTGCTGTGACAACTGGATATGCACATGCAAAAGAATGAAGCTGGACCCCTTTCTCACACCACACAAATTAACTTTAAGTGGATCATAGACCTAAGTGTATAGCCAAAATGTATAGCCAAAACTATACCATTCTTAGGAGAAAACATAGGAGCAAGTCTCCATGACCAGGGCTAGGTAAAGCCTTCTTAGATATGACAGTAAAAGCATAAGTGACACAATAAAAATAAATTTAAAAAAGTAAAAAGACAATCCTTTCCGTGGGAGACAATCCAAATCATATATCTGATAAGGGACTTGTATCCAGCATATGTGAAGAACCCTTATAATAATTTTAAAACACATTAAAAATGGGCCAAGGATGGCTGGGTATGATCGCTCATGCCTGTAATCCCAGCACTTTGGGAGGCTGAGGTGGGCAGATCACCTGAGGTCAGGAGTTCAAGACCAGCCTGACCAACATGGATAAACCCCGTCTCTACTAAAAATACAAAATTAGCCAGGAATGTGGCACATGCCTGTAATCCCAGCTACACAGGAGGCTGAGACAGGAGAATCACTTGAACCCGGGAGGCAGAGGTTGAAGTGAGCCAAGATCCTGCCATTGCACTTC